GCCACTCGGCCGGCCCCTCTTTGCCTATTTTTAATTGGGTCATTTGTCTTTTCATTATTGAGTTGTAAGTGTTCTTTTGGATACAAATCCCTTAGTGGATATATGATTTGCAAATCTTTCCTTCTGTGGGTTCTTTTCACTTTTTTGATGGTATTCTTTGAAACACAAAAGTTTTCAATTCTGAAGAAGTTCAGTTTATCTATTTTGCCTTTGTTGGTTGTGTTTTTGGTGTCATATCTGAGAAACCATTGCCTAATCCAAGGTGATAAAGATTTATGTTTTTGTCCAAGAGTCTTATAAGCTTCAACTTTTACGTTTAGATTTTTGATCCGTTTTGGGTTTCATATATGGTGTGAGGTATGGTCCAACTTCTTTCTTTTGCATGTTGATATCCAGTTGTCCCAGCACCATTTGTTGAAAAGACTATTCTTTCCTCCATTGTATTGTCTTGGTAACCTTGTCAAAAATCAGTTAACCACAATATGTGTTTATTTCTAAACTCTCAATTCTACTTCATTGTCTATCCTTATGACAGCATATATTGATTTGTTCATGCATTTGTTTTTTATTCTATTGATATAGTTATTACATTAATTTTCAGATATTGAACCAACCTTACATTCCTGGGATAAATTGCTTGTTCATGATGTATACTCCTTTTTCTAATTCTGCTGGATGTGGCTTGCTACTATTTTGTTCAGGATTTTTGGGTTTATGTTTATAAGGAATATTGTTGTTTAGTTTTCTTTTCTTGAGACGTCTTTGTCTGGATTGAGTATCAGTGTAATACTGACTTCATAGAATGATTTAAGAGGTGTTCCTTTCTCTTTTTTCTTAAAGGAGTTTGTGTAGAAGTAGTACTAATTCCAATATAATCATTTGGTAGAATTCACCAGTGAAACCATTTGGACCTGGGCTTTTCTCTGTTGGAAATATTTTGATTGCTAATTCAGTCCTTTCTTATAACTCTATACAGGTTTTCTATTTCTTCTTGAGTTAGTTCCTATAATTTGTGCCTTTTTAGAAAATTTTCTGTTTCATCTGTTATTTAATTAGTTCACATACAATTGTTCATATATTTCATTTTGTTGATTTTTCTCTATTGTTTTTCTGTTCTCTGTTTCATTTATTTCTTTTTAATTTGTATTATATCCTTCCTTCTCTTTGCTTTGGGTTTACTTTGCTCTTGGTTTTCTACTTTAAAAAAAAAAGATTTTATTGGGGAATTGGGGGAGGGGAACAGCATTGGGGAATCAGGGAAGGGGAACAGACAAGTTGCTGTCCTTTGGTTCTTCAGTCTAGTTGTGGAGGACGTCGCTTCACTGGCCCATGTTGGTATTAACATTGTGCTGTTCCCGGGTGAGGCAGATCAGTCGGCAGCCATTGGACAGCCACTCATGGCAGCTCACTGCAGCTCATGCTGGCTGCCGGCCACTCACAGTGGCCTACAGCAACCCACTGCAGCCCTACTGCAGCCTATGCCATCGCCAGTGACTCATGGCAGCCCAGCTCCAGGTTGAGCTGTTGTTCACCATCTTTAGCTGTAGAAGGCGCAGCGTCACTTGCCCATGTGGGATCCAAACCAGTGGCCCTGCTGCTCAGAGCTCGCACTCCCAAGCCAATTCTTAACCAACGAGCCGCTCAGCCAGCCCCTTTTTCTACTTTCATAAGGTGAAATGTTAGGTTATTAATTTGAGATCTTTTTAATAAAGGCATATGCAGCTATACATGTCTCTCTAAGCATGCTTGAGTTGCATCCTATAAGTTTTGATATGCTGTTTGTGGAAAAGAGCATAGCAGGTCTGAACTACTATCCCGGGAAGAACTGATTGCAGTGTTGGCCCTTGGCCTGCCTTTAAGACCTTGAATTTTGAGAGGTTCCCACCATTTCCAGAACTGATAAGAGTTATGATTCAACTGTTTGTGCAAACAATATGGTTTATGCTGAACACTTGTTTTCCTTTTGGAATATAGAATTTAGGTATTGGCCAAGCAGGTATGCCTACATGGCTCCTCCAGTAAAAAACCCTGGGCTCTTGAGTCTCTAAAGAGATGTTGGTAACATTTCACACCTTATCATAATTTGTTACTGGAGGAATTAAAAGCATCCAGTGTGACTCCTTAGAAGGACACTTGGAAACTTGTGAATGAGTTCCCTTGATCTTTGCTCCTACATCTTTTCCTTTGCTCCTTTTGCTTGGTTTCCTTTTGATTATGTAATATGTTATAGTCATAAATAGACTATATTGTGCTGAGTCCTGTGAGGCCCCCTAATGAATTACCCAACTTGAAGGTGGTCCTGGGGACCTGACATGTATGATTTTGTTCTCATTCATCTCAAAGTATTTTTAAATTTCTCTCATGAGCTTTTTTCTTTGACCATCTATCTATCATCTGTCTATCATCTATCTATCCATCTATCTATCTATCTATCTATCTATCTATCTATCTATCTATCTATCATCTATTTTTGGGATTGTGTTTCTTAATTTCCACATACTTATGAATTTCCCAAATTTCCTTTTATTATTGATTTCAAATTTAATTTCATTGTGGTTGGTGAATATACTTCAATCTTGTCATTGTATAATTTCAGGCTTTGGCATATTAATGAGACTAGTTTTATGTGCTAACATGTTGTCTGTCCTGGAGAAGATTCCATGCGCACATGAGAAGAATGTGTATTCTGCTGTTGTTGGATGGAGTGTTCTGTTAGGTCTAGTTGGTTTGTGGTGTTGTTTCTTTTTTTTATTTCCTTGTTGATTTGTCTTGTTCTACCCATTTTTTTTTCTGGCTTTACATTTATTATTATTTATTAATTTTTTATTTTTCAATTACAGCTGACATACAATATTATATTAGTTTCAGATGTACAACATAGTGATTAGACACTTATGTAACTTACGAACGTGTATTTCTCCCTTCAGTTTAGTATTTGCTTCATGTCAGGATTTGCTTTATATATTTTTGGTCTCTTGTTATGCATATATATTTATAATTATTATGTCTTCTTAATGTAATAACCCTTTAATCATTATAAAATGTGCTTCTTTGTCTATAGTAACTGCTTTTATCTTATAGTCTATTTTGTCTGATATTAGTATAGTCACTCCAGCTCTCTTTTAGTAGCTTTTAGCATAGCATATTTTTTCTATCTTTTTGCTTTCAACATATTTATGTCTTCTTTTTTTTTTAGCTGAGCCATCCTGCCACTTGTTGGCAGCTTAGCGGCAGCTCAGCTCAGGCCAGGCATCGAACCGCTGTTGCTCAGAGCTCAAACTCTTGAGCGAGCTCTTAACCAACTGAGCCACTCGGCCGGCCCTCATATTTATGTCTTTGAATCTAAAGTATATCTCTTTAATGCTTTGTAAAGAGCATAAAGGTGGATCATGTGTTTTTAAAATTCATTCTGTCTTTTGATTGGCGTGTTTAAGTATTTACATTTTATGTATTTATTGTATCAATAAATAAGGTAGGATTTATAAGGTTTGATAAAGTAGGATTAACATCTGTCATTTTGTTGTTTGTTTTCTACATGTCATGTTTATCTTTGTTCTTTTCCTTCATTACTGCTTTCTTTGTGTTTAATAGATATTTTCTAGTGTACTATTTTAATTCATCTGTCATTTCATTTGCTATGTACTTTTTCACTTGTTTCCTTAATGGTTTTCCTGGGAATTACAATTACCATCTTAACTTTTAAAATTTATTTTGGATTAATATCAACTTAATTTCAATAGTACATAGAAAATTTACTCTTATGTAGCTTTGTAATATTACCTTCTCTCTGTGCTATTATTATCATATAAATTAAATCTTCATGCATTATAAGGCTAAAGGACAGTTTTATAATGATTACGTTTTGCAGCTGTCTTTTAATTCTGATTGAAGAAAAAAGTTACAAATGAAAATTACATTTATATTGTCTTTTATATATGTAGTTACCTTTACCAGTACACTTTATTCTTTTTATGTGGTTTTGAATTACTCTCTAGTGTCATTTTGACCTGAAGGGCTCCCTGTATAATATTTCTTGTAGGAAAGGTCTGCTAATGATAAATTCTCTCAGTTTTTGTTTATCTTGGAATGTCTTAATGTTTTCTTCAGTTTCAAAGGATAATTTTGTTAAATATAGGGTTCTTGGTTAACAGTCTTTTTTCTCAGCACTTTGAATAAGTCCTCACACTGTGTTCTGTCTTGTATGGGTTCTAATGAGAAATTGGCTGTTCATCTTATGGAGGATCCCTTCTGAAGTCACTCCTCTCTTGCTGCTTACAAGATCCTCTCTTTGGCTTTGGCTTTAGGCAGTTAGGCTATAATGTATCTTGGTGTGGATCTCTTTGAGTTGATTCTGCTTAGATTTCATGTAGTGTTTTGGGGGTGTAGCTTCATGTCTTTTGTCAAATTAGGAAAGTTGTTGGCCATTAACTCTTTAAATATTCTTTGTACCCTTTCTGTCCTCTCCCTCTGGAACTCTCATTATGCATATGTTAGTACACTTGAATATACTCTACAGGTTCCGGAGGCTCTATTCATTTTCCTTTGATCTCTTTTCTGTCTACTCTTCATTTGATGTGTCTTCAAGTTTACTGAGTCCTCTGACATCTCAGATCTGCTCTTGAGACATCTAGGAATTTTTTGTTTCAATTACATTTTCAACTTTAGAATTGTTCTTTCGTCCTTTTTCACAATTTCTGTTTATTAATATCCCTTGTTTAGTGATATATTGTTCTCATACTTTTCACTAGTTCTTTGAATATATTTAAAATAACTGGTTTTCTAGTAAGTTTGATGTCTTGACCTTTCAGCAACAGTTTCTATCAGTTGCTTCTTTTCCTTATATGGGTCACACTTTCTTGTTTTCTTTGCATGTCTTATAATATTTTGTTGAATAATGGACATGTTAAATAATATAATATGGCAACTCTGGAAATAAGATTCTTGCCTCCCCTCCCTGCATTTGTAGTTGCTGTTTGTTTCTATTGCTCTTTGTTTATTTATGGACTTGCCTAAACTAGCTCTTTGTTGTGTGTGGTCACTGAAGTTTCTACTTGGTTAGTTTAGTGATCAGCTAATAATTGGACTGAGATTTTCGTAAATTCCTTGAACCAATAAGTCTCCAGCTTACAGAGGGGCTCTTTGTGCATTTTGGGGGTATGTCTTCAATGCTTTGCCAGGCAATTGGCAATCTTGCCTTAGCCTTCATTTCCTTTTTGTGCAGAGCCCCAAGGTTAGCCAGAGGTGAGGTTAGGGCCTTTGAGGTCTTTCCTGAGTTTGCACACAGCCCTGTACATGCATATGGCCTTCTAGATTCTAGGAATATATCAGAGCCTTACATACCCCACGACGGATATCTCAATCCCCCGTTTCTCCTTGTAAGTGTTTTGGTCACCTTCTTATTTGCGCCAGCTGTTATCACTGCCTCAGGGAACTCTAAGGCTAAACGACTGCCACTGGTTGTTTTCCAGAAATACCCTGTGGAAAAAGCTGTTCACAGTGAGAGAACTCTAGGTCAGAAAAAGACAAGCCCTGTGAGTGGGGGTTTTTCCCATGAATTGATTCTCCAGGGAGCTGCCAAACAGGTTAGATAATGACAAATTTCTGGGAACAGAGCTTTGGGGAAAGCACAGACACAGTGATAGTCAGGTCATGGTGACCCTGACTTTGGGGTGGTTGGTTTTCAAGCTCTACAAGAAGTTTGGGAAAGGGGTCTGGCTATATGGCAATTTAAAATATCACAGAGCTTGATGTTTTTATTGAGATTCAGTCATTTTTCTTGAATAAATGCTCGTCAGATTATTGCAAGATTTTGGTTGATTTACAGGGTTCTATAAAAAGTTGATTTTGACAATTATTGCCAGTGTTCTCATTGCTTATACAGAGGAGCAGGTTTTTGGAGATTCTTACTGCATCATTTCCAGTGAGATCACCCACCCAGATGATTCTAATGAATGGGATGTTATTTATAAATAAGGTATTTAGAGTAGCTTTCTCACTTCTGACACATCAAAACTGATGTTTATTGAATAGTAATGTAACAATAACAATATATTAATTGTTAATTATTAATATTAATAATAACATATTTATTATTATTATATCCCCAAGTGTTTGATACACCATACTTCTTAAATGTAAAGATTATTTGCAGTCAAAGAAGGAATGGAGTTTACTATTGTGTTGTGTTTTAAATATGTGCTCTGAGGATAGGCCCATGAAACAAATTTGTTATTTTAGCTGAAGCTGCCCCTGCCTAGTCATGAGGTTGGTTTAGTCTGTGGAGGATTTGTGTTCATTCAACCACCAGTGGCTACGTTAATAGCCATAAATTGGATTCCATAAATGCAGAATTCAAGTAATAAAAATCAACTTAATTACTGAAATCTTAACATTTATGTGTTTTATGTTTTGGAAAAAGTACAAACTTTTCTTCTATACTGTTGTTCCACTGTTAGACATTAAGACTATGATGACAAAACAGTTAATTAATTTGAACTTATCAGATCTTGGACAGAATTTCAAGTATAGTAAGACTTTGTTAGTGATGGAATCCAAGAGTTGTTTTCTAAAAAAAAATAAAAGTAAAATGAAAATAATCAAGATGAAATTTGATGATTTGTTTTTTTCTAAAATATGCTAGGGAACCAGATATATTAGTTGGTTACTGGAATGTACAATTGGGCCTTGGTTAAGTTTCAGAAGAATTTTTCGATTAAGTTGTTATTGAAAACAACAGGTCCCATCGGCACTGTTAACTCTTAGCACTGCTCATACACAGTGGCCATTGTTGTTCCCTTGGCTAATTACTGGTCTCCTCCACTAGAATCTGTGTTGATGTTACAAAAACAGTTTATGCTACACAGGCTCTTTATTCATGTAATAATTACAGCGTATTTGTCTTGAATATTTCGCAAGTGTTCTCTTTGGATAATACTGGCAAGATTAAGTAATAGTTTCTCGCTTACATGATTGCTCAAGAACATCAAACATGATGAATTGAGATTTGATGTATCATGTATATGTCTTTGGCTCCCAGCGTCTTTGACCTTTTCCTTTTCTTATGTACAAAATAATCTTATTGTGGGGCTATGTCTATAGTTTCTAACACAAATGCCAGGAACCACTTGAGCAAAATATTTAATTTCAGTTTTAATGGGTAGTTTTTCTAACGATCAAGAGTAACACATCGGAGCCAGCCACAACACTGTGCCAGAAACCAGGGACTTCAAAGATTCTCCTTTTTGGGACTCAGAAGGAACTGAACTCTCTAGTTCTTCATATCATCCAACTTAATTATTGGCAATAAATGACTGTTGGCAGGAAGCATGCGTCACTTGCTCGCAGTTCTGCTTCAAAACAGGTCAGCGTGAGGCACGAACCCTGGCCTGCGTTATGCAGCCGTGGGCGCAGATCCCCTGACACGTGCTGCAGAACACGTTATGCAATGTTATGCTCACTGATTAATGGCTGCTTGCACAAGAAGGTTTTCATGCAAGGATCCTGGGAATGATTAACTTTGTGACATAACTTTCATCACACAAATATGGGAGATTCAAACAGAGCCCAAATATGAGCTCAAAAATGTGCTTCAGAAATAACCAAATGTGTTTTGGCTTCTTAATGTGTGTATGATTAACAACTGTTTTAAAGCCACTGAGTGAAATTGAGAAAACTATTTAGGATTCTTTTTAGGAGTGGGAGTTTCATGACATTGGTTCACATGTGAACACTCTTCTACCATATATCAGTTTTACCATTATGTATTCTAATTTACTGACATTTACAAAAATGTCAGATTTATTGGACAGTGCTCCATCTTATGAACTAAATATTGAACAGACAGTTGCTTTTATTAAACATTTTTTAGGCTGCAAAGATATGCAGCTCTCAGAACCCCACGTATGATGGAGTCATTGTGAATTTGCTAATGATTTCGCATAACTAGAAAGGTAAACTCAAATTCTGATCTTATTGAAGATTTTCAGATTTTATCAGCTGAAATTGTTGGTGTAGTAGGACTCTTCATTGTGAGTGACAGGAAAACAACAAAAATAGCTTAGACAAAGGGAAGCATCATGACTCTCAGCATGAACTCTGGGGGACAGGGGAGCACCATCCTCAGGGACCCCTGGGGCCAGGGTCTCAGGACTATAGGACACACTACATTTCTCATCACATGTTCTCTCAGGGGGTGTTTGACCTCTGGGCCTGTTCCTGTAGACTGGCTTCACTCATGGCAACTCCCAGATGCCTGCCTCACCATCAAGGAGGAAGGAGAGCTCTCTTCACTCAGCTCCAGCGCAAAAACTCCCAGGAGAGGGCTCTGCTGGGCCCAGCTAGAGCACATGTCCTCCCTGTGGCCACAGAAGTAGGTACTGTGATTGAAGGAGGTGGAACTTTTCAACAGAAGAGAGGCCTGCTGTTCTGGCCTGAAAACTCACAGCAGTCACTGAGGGCCAACCTTGACCCAACCAACTCTATTTCCCCCAAGATGCCCTCACTTGCCTTAAAGCATTTCCTCCTTGTACATCCACAAAAGTAAAGTCCTGCTGAGAGCCACTCCAGCAACAGCACCCAGCTCTAACCCCATACCTCTAGGTCATGTCCACTGCTCTTGAGGCTGAGGATGACCCTGCAGAACCAGATAACCTGTGGTGTCCGTGCTGTTCAGCTGCCTCAACAAACTGTACCTAGAAAGGGAGGGAACCCACTTACAAATGGGGCAAAACACACAGAGCTTTCTAGTCTACATATTCTGTGTCATAGCGAGGGACATGACGGGGCCAGCAGGTCTTGGGCATCCATTTGTTGACCCAGTTCCCTGAGAGTAGATTACGTCCTTAGTCAATTTCCCCAGGGTTTTTCCCTGAAGGATCATTGGAGAGAACTTCTTCATGAGGGTCTTGACCTCTCTCTGGTTCACTTTTGTTAGTACAGGACCCTGGAGCTTGTCATGGGCTGAGGAGAGACCCCTTAAAACTGCATTTGGCTTTTTGTAGATTTAATGTAAGGGAGGCAGTCCACTGTCTAATCAATCACATGATTCTTGTCAAATGACTGGTTTTGAATCTGGATTGGGTGGAATTTAAGGGCTTTGTCTCTTAGTCTGTTTGTGATTCTGCTCTTTCTAGACCTCAGCTTAATGATGTCTGCCTTAGAACAACAAAGAAGAGGGCCGGTAGAGGGTGACAGGGTTACTATGCACTCCAGCATGTGGCCCCGTCTGCAAGGACCTAAATTAGCCAGAGAGGTAAGGAATGCAATCCCACATCAGGAAAGGGGGTCAACTTCGATAGAGGGGGAGCAATCGGGACAAGATGCCAAGGCCTGGGTCAGAACACTTTTGGTGGCAAACCCAGCTTGAACTAAACTAGACAGGAAAAAGGAATTCACTGACCAGCCAGCTTCAAGAACAACTAACCTGTGGTCTCCATCTTCTCTAGTCACTCTCTCTCCTGCCAACCAGCTTCTTTATGCAGATGAGAATGCGCCCCCTGGCAGTGCCCAGCTTGCGTCGTCTCAGCCTTCCTGCCAAGAAGCAAGGTGATCTTACCTCTACTCCACCTAGAGACATGTGGGGAGGACTTGGGCCCTGTGGCCGAAGTGAGTTGCTATAATTGGAGCTCTGGTTAGGACTCCATGCTTGGAAGTAGGAGACAAAGCAGCAGGCACCCATCAACCCTGGTTTGTAATGACAGCAGATGGCTGTGTAGAGTATCAGTGGGCAGGTCTAAGTGCCTGTGTTTCCAGGTTATTAATGTGTTTGCTTGTTCACTTTTCCACTTGCACTGTGGCTAGAAGACCTAGGAAAACATTCGGTTATCACAAGGTTCTTCAAATCCATGTTGCCACCAGCTGAGTAATATGCTTGGCACAGATACGCCGAAGTTTTCCCAATGTTGTAAGGGTGTCGTGTTTAATGAGGTGCTGGTTCACCTTAAGTCACCACTGCTTAATCTGTGTTTGTTATTTATAATTTTATTTGTTTTCTCAGAGGATGCTAAATGTTCAGTTACTCTCCTGCAAGCCACTCAACGGAGCTTGCTATTCATAGAAAGGAACACAGAAGCCCTGCTGTCCATAGCACATGGAGCGGTTCTAGTTTTCTGCTATGATGTGACTGGGTCACACCAGTGGACTTTTCCTAAATAATACATCTGGCCCCTAAATAAAACTTTGAAAGAAGGGAACACTTAGTTTTCTTTCTTCTGAACAGTTTATGCAACACTACACCTGTACGATTGATGAGACACTTTGAAGTGATGTAAGACCAGTTAGCTAAGTGCGGCCACATGTTCTCTTGAGAAAAATGAGAAAGGGAAAGGAGGGAGGGGGAGTCCTTCTTCTGCAGAGCAAACTTCACAGTAAGCTGTTCTCTCAGTACTAAGTTGCTTCATGAGAGAGCAGTTGCAAGCACAGTATTGATGGAGATGTGGATGGTGCTGTGTGACATCCAGGCGACAGCCATACTCTGATGAGACCTTTCCACTTCAGCCCAAGAGCCTGGAACATTCTTGTCTGGACTTTATTGCTAAGGGGAAGCATTTGCGAACTGAACTCACTTTGGGAAGGTCCCTGTCCCTGCTCACTGCCCACACTCCACTTCACTGAAAGCCAATGGTGGGTAAACATTGACTTCGAAGTCTTCCCGGAGAGGGGAAGGCACAGGAAGCAGGTCCCCAGGCTGCCTGCCGCTGCCTACAGCCAACGTGCAGCCGGCTCTGGGAAGGGCAGTGACTCAGAGCAGAAGTGCTTCCTGGAACAGGGCGCAGATAAGAGGTGGCTTGTGCTCAAGTTTCACATGAACTGCACTGTGGGTTACAAAACCCCGTGTCATAACTTCACTTAAGAGATTTTTTTAGTACTGGTTTCCCCAAGAAAGACTTTCTATGTATTTGGCGTGTGTGTGTGTGTGTGTGTGTGTGTGTGTGTGTGTGTGTGTATGATTTTATTTTGGTAATTATTTTGGAAAATGTTCAGAGAAGTCAGAAATGGTGAAGAAGAGGGGGTCTTCCTTACAGTGACCTGTGCAAGTCACAGGTTCTCTGTGTAGACAAACACCAGCCCCGGGCTCGTCACACAAGTAATTCTGGGAAGCAAAAATGACCACCACATGGTGGCCTCGACTTCCTGAAAGCCACCAGGGACTTCTCTACTGTGGAGGGGCTCACTGGGACGGGCTTGTTCTCTTGGTTATAACACCTTCAGTGACTGTCACTGACCACCTCCATCTACAGTCTTCTTTGGGGGGGTTCTTTTGACCTGTAGGAGAAAAATGGCATTTAAATCTATGTTATTCAAGAGGGTGAAGTGAGCTAAGTTTAGTGGAAGCTAAATATAACCTGAGCAGGGTGGATCAGGCCTGTGGGTACCAGACCGCCTGCTGTCACCCTGGCCATCCCAGGGGCCACATACAAATGCCAGGTCCAGGAGGTGCTCAGCAGCCTGTTACTCATATGTCAGATTCCCACTGTCATGATGTATTTCATGCACCAACTGCATTTCCATAGAAAAGTGTGAGTCACTACTGAGGGGCCTCTGTGCGGTGGGGGGAGGAGCGCTGTCATAACCCAGAAACGGGGACAGAGCATCTATCATATTCTGCTTAGGCCCTTCCCCCTAGTTTACTTTTTATCTAACAACTAAGATAAGGTGGGATGGCCTTTTTATAAGAAATCTATTTAAATACAAGGGGTTATTTGAAGTTTCTTTTAAAAGCCAAGGGCATTTTTTGGTGGTCAATTTATAAATAAAACATATTAATAATAGTTTGATAGACATTTAAAATGCCAACAGTGGCTGTTGCTGGGGCTCCCTTCACACCACTATGGACACAGAAAATGCCCCTTTGGTGTGTGTGGATGGGGGTGGCAGTGAGCCTCCCCTCCCCGGCCCACTCCCAT